GCTGTAACCCTAAATCAGGAACGAGGCCCCTCTTTTTTCCCCTCAGGTTAAACTCCGGTCTCCCCATGGAAAATTTAAAGAGCACCTGAAACAAACCGCCAAAGAGTGAAGGCACACTGAGCCCCTCCCCAACGAAACGGGTTCCTTCTTCAACGGCCCGACTGTAAATGCCCGAAGCGTCAGGCATCGGGTTCCCGGGCGGGGGAAGGACATTCGCCTTGTCGCCTGCGGCTCCCCTCGAATGCGCGGGCCCACGCCACAGGTCAATGGAGGAGTGCAGACTCTGGACGCACTAGTTGCGGAGGGCGACGGGCAAGATCAAAGAAGAAATCCGCCGCCCTCTGCTGGGGCGAGCCGTTCGATCTGCAGTGTCCTCCTTCACCCTCCTGGTCATCCTTCTATTGTTGATCGCGCTTCCTTGTCCTCCTCCTCCTCGTGCCCAGGTAATGTGTTCGATGGCGCCCTCTGCTTCCATGCTCCTGCTTTCGCTTGGGCGCGTCACCTGGATAATTCCTCTTATACATCCAACCTTGATTACACTCCTTCCCTCCTCCCCTCTGATGTTCCTGGAACGAACCGTCCTGCCTTCTCATCGTTCCGCAGGGCGCGCCAAGGGCCACTAACTATACGGTGCATTGGGCATCCTCGGAATGTGACTGGTTTGGGTCCTGGTGTGGCCTGGTTTGGGCAGGTTCCGCCTGAGACATCCTCACTCGATGGGTACCTCCCGAGCAGACGCGGTCGGAAAATTTCGCCGCATGGCCGATGCATCTGCGATGCCTCAGCAACGCTGGCGATGCATCGGCGCCGTCGGCGTGGAGAACATCGGGCTCCACACCGCGCCGCATCGGCGAGGCCTCGGCGATGCGGCGCGATCCGCCGACCCCATCTGCTCTGGGCTTCCCTCCTGGGAGGCCTGGGGACGAGGCCTCTGGCCGACAGCACGTCCGTTGCCCACCTCGCCGAATCCCCGCCCCAAGAGAGGAGGAGGGGGAGGAGGAAGAGGAGGAGACACCAGGAGGAGGAGGAGGAGGAGGAGGAAGAGGAGGAGGAGGAGGACAAGGAAGAGGAGGAGGAGAAGCCAGGAGGAGGAGGAGGAGGAGGAGGAGGACAAGGAAGAGGAGGAGGAGAAATCAGGAGGAGGAGGAGGAGGAGAAGGAAGAGGAGGAGGAGAAAACGGAGAGAGGAGGAGGAGGAGGAGAGGGAGGAGGAGGACAAGGAAGAGGAGGAGGAGAAATCAGGAGGAGGGAGGAGGAGGGGAGGAGAAGGAAGAGGAGGAGAGAGAAACCAGGAGGAGGAGGAGGAGGAGAAGGAGGAGACACCAGGAGGAGGAGGAGGAGAGAGGAGGAAGAGGAGGAGGAGGAGGAGGACAAGGAAGAGGAGGAGGAGAAGCCAGGAGGAGGAGGAGGAAGAGGAGGAGGAGAGGAGGAGAGGAGGAGGAGGAGGACAAGGAAGAGGAGGAGGAGAAATCAGGAGGAGGAGGAGGACAAGGAAGAGGAGAGGAGGAGCCAAGGTAGGAGAAGCCAGGAGGAGGAGAGGAGGAGGAGGAGGAGGAGGACAAGGAAGAGGAGGAGGAGGAAAAGGAGGAGGAGGAGGAGGAGAAGGAGAGGAGAGGAGGAAACAGGAGGAGGAGGAGGAGAAGCCAGGGAGGAGGAGGAGGAGGAGAGGAGGAGGAGGAGGAGGAGACAAGGAAGAGGAGGAGGAGAAATCAGGAGGAGGAGGAGGAGGGAGGAGGAGAAGGAAGAGGAGGAGGAGAAACCAGGAGGAGGAGGAGGCCAGGAGGAGGAGGAGGAGGCGAAGAGGCAGGAGGAGAGGAGGAGGAGAAGCGAGGAGAAGCAGGAGGAGGAGGAGGAAAGAGGAGGAGAAGGAGGAGGAGGAGGAGGAGGAGGAGGACAAGGAAGAGGAGGAGGAGAAATCAGGAGGAGGAGGAGGAGGACAAAGGAGAGGAGGAGGAGAAGCCAGGAGGAGGAGAGCCAGGAGGAGGAGGAGGAGGAGGAGGAGAGGACAAGGAAGAGGAGGAGGAGAAATCAGGAGGAGGAGGAGGAGGAGAAGGACGAGGAGGAGGAGGAACCAGGAGGAGGAGGAGGAGGCGGAGGCAAGCAGTGAGGGCGCAGCCTCCGCCACCAGCGCGGCCCGGTCGGCGGGCAGGGCCCGGCCGCCCCCGTCCTCGGCGGCGGTGGGGCGGCGCGCGGCGGCGCCGTCGGACCAGGGGGCCCTGAAACTCGAGCGGGGGCCGCCCGTCCCGGCATTCCCTGGGAGTCGACGATCATGTTTGTCTGTCTGATTCTTCCCCTCAGAGGGAAAAGAACTATGCACATGCACCGATTCTGGCCAGGCCCACCCTGAGCCCAGGATCGGTGCATACGCCCTCCTACCTTGGCCAGGAAGGCATATGCACCGATCCTGGGTCAAAAATGGGCCTTGCCAGGATCGGTGCATGTGCATAGTTCTCTTCGCCCGACCCCTCCTGACAGGGGCGGGGACGAGGACCAGCGACTTTGCAGAGGGTGCGGTCTGCAGAGGCTGCGGCTTGCAGCTGGCACCTGTGGGGGCAGGCGCAGACCTCGGCAGGGTCCTCCGCCGCGCCCGGGCGCCGACGGCTCATGGAACCTCTGGCGCAGCCCGGTGCCTCCGACCCCCCGACGGCGCCGATCGCACACCGGCGCAGCCGCACCCACTGCAGTCGCCGAGAGGAGGGCGGCGCGAGGAGGCCCCGAGGAAAGCGCGTGCGCGGAGGACGGCGGGGCCATGAAGGGGGCCAGAAGGAATCCTGGCCCGTGGTCCCGCCGTCCTCCACCCGAGTGGGACCTGGCAAAAACAGAACAAAACATCATCTTATCCTGTTTCTTGTCCCTTGAAAGGTGTCGATACCGCCCACTCTTTGGACGACCAGCATGGGTGCGGAAGTGGGTACGATGCCCACCAACAAATGTCGTCCAAAACCGACCGCGGCCGCTATTAGGCAGGCGGCCTTCTGTCTCAAAGTGGCAACGTCCGTGGCGGCGCGGACAGCGAGCCCCGTCCAAAACGAACGTGAACTGCTGCTGGGTATCGTACCCATACATTCCGTACCCATGTCGTTCGTGCTGGCGGGCCCCGTCCAAAATGGACAGGAACTGCTGCTGGGCATCGTACCAATGCTTCCCGTACCCACATCGTTCGTGCCGGCGAGGCCCGTCCAAAGTGATCGAGGACTGCTGCTGGGTATATCGTACCCATGCTTTCCGTACCCACATCGTTCGTGGAAGCCCCCCCTCGCTTCCAAAGTGAACAGGCACCGACTGTCCCGGCATTTCTGTCGGCCAACCACGGATTGCTCTTAGAACCCTAATGTTCTAGGAAAAACAATGTTCTCAGAACAGAAACACGACGTGCCAAAACAAGACAGTCCCGGTCAGAAATGCTCTTAGAACATTTCGTGCCGACCACAACAAATTCTCAAAACAGTCTCCTGTGAGCCTATCGGCAAGCCAGGACGCTTCGCCACTGCTTGAGACCCCGGGAAGTCCAGCCGCAGCTGCCCAGGGGGGCCAGCCCTGCTGAAGACCCGCTCGGGGAAAAAAACGGGCAGGCCACGCGACGCCTGCTCACCTCGCGCCATATCCACATGAGCGCATGCACGAAGAGGGCGGCCCGCTATCGCGATCATCTGGGGACATGTTCACTCTGCACGACCACCTGACCCCCTCTGTGCTCTCGCGCCTCCTCTGGTAGGCGAACGACCCCTGTGGGACGACGCGGGTCCTTCAGGGGCGCCCACAGGCAGGACTCGTCCGCCAGCGGCTGCGACCCGGGCCCGGCGCACAGCACGGGCACCGCCGGCTGCGCGGGGGTCCCCAGGGCGCGGAGGGGGCCCCGCCTCCCTCTCCCAGGGCCTCTTCGCTCCTCCTCCTCCTCCTCCTCCTCCTCCTCCTCCTCCTCTCCTCCTCTTCTTTCCTTCTCCTCCTCCTCCTCCTCCTCCTCCTCCTCCCCTCCTCCCTCCTCCTCCTCCTCCTCCTCCTCCTCCTCTCCGTAGCCATTTTGGCTCAAGTTCCCAACGTCGCTCCCGCGCTGGGAGCTTGTGTGCAGCCAAGGGAGCGGCTCGAGGCTCCCTACTTCCCGCCCCACAGGGGGGCACATTCACGCACGCCTGCGTCAGCCTGCCCAGGCGTCGCAGGCTTCTTTCCGAAGCACGCCTGAGGAGTGGACTGCAGTGGCATGGCAGGCGATGGGCCCCCGAAGCTCAGTCGCCATGCGCAGCGGCGCCGCGAGCAGGCTAAGGACTGGTGCTGCAAGTACTGCATCCACCCGATCTCGCAGAACCAGTGGTGGAATCGGTCCGACACGGTGTCGTGCACCAAGTGCGGGTCGGCCAAGGCCGTGGCATTCATGTGTGTTCGCCCGCCGCCTGGACCGTCCACCAAGCGTGCCAAGCCGCCAGCTGCGAACTCAGGCAGCGGCTCCGCTGCGGTGCCGCCGTGGGTTAACGACAAGCTGGAGGCCCTGGCAAAGGAGTTGGCCAGCACCAAGGCCAAGCTGGCTGAGACCACCAGCAAGCAGCACGCGCCGTCCATGGAGGTCGACGAGGGCGCAGAGCACTGTGAGGGCCAGGGTGACTCCTTGGACCAGAAGAGGGCGCGCCTTGAGGAGGTCGACGCTGCGCTGCGGGCCATCGCCGGCTCCAGCGAGGTCCTGTTCGAGACGGCTCGGGTCGAGCTGGAGGACACTCGCAAGAAGCTCAGCGCGGAGCTGGCAGCTGCGAAGCCCGTCCCAGCGCAGCTGCGCACCCTGTCCTTCAAGCTGGGCAAGCTCGAGCAGAAGCGCGCCAAGCAGGAGGAGGCCCTGCAGGCAGCCAAGGACAAGGTCGTGCAGGCCAACAAGGAGGTGGATGAGGCCACGCAGCAGCTCGCCGAGTCCGACGCGGCGATCTTGGAGCTCCAGCAGGAGCAGACGCGGCTCGCCGCCACGCTCCCTCGTCCACCAGCTGGAGGCGTCTCGCCAAAGGCTGACATCGTCGAGGGGCTCGGCGTCACCATCGAGAAGCTGGGCGCGATGTTGGCGGAGCTCGGCGACAGCGGGGTGCTCGCGGAGAAGCTTGGCACGGTGCTGGGCGAGGTCCGTGAGTACGAGCAGCGTAAGGTCGAGGCCGCAGCGCAGGAGTCCAAGGCTGCGGCCGAGGCAAGGGCGACCCAGGCCAAGGCTGAGCCTGTGCCCAGCCAGGGCGCCAAGGAGTCGGTGGCAGGCCCTGACCTCCCAGACCCCGACACGGCGACCGAGGAGGAGCTGCGCGAGTTCCTCTCCAGCTCGGGCGTGGACCCGCCCCAGGAGTGCGAGGAGCTCCGCGGCCAGGTGCGCAAGATCACCGACGCGCTGGGCGGCTGGCGCGAGGTCAAGAGGGCCAAGGTGCTGTCTGCTGCCTAGCCTGCTGCGCGCGCTGCTGCTCCTGGCGCTCCTGCCGCTGGCAAGGGCAGCTGGCACCATCGGCACGGTTGCTGGAGGGCTGGATGCCAATCCGCTGTTCGGGCAAGCGTCGGCGGCGGCAGGCTCCAGCCGCTCTCCCGCGGCCCTGGCCGAGGCCAGCGCTGCCCGCAGCATGCGGAGGGCCCAGCTCCTGGAGCGCGTTGGAGCGCGCGAGCAGGCCTCGACTAAGGCGAGAGCGCGCCAGCGCCGAGGCAAGGCCTCCAGCAAGGTCGGCCTGTCTGCGGCCGATCGAGACGTACTGCTTCCTCGACGAGCAGGGCAGGGGCCTGCTGCTGCCTCTGGCTCCCAGGCGGCTTGCTCTGCGGTCGGATCTGTCGGGCTTCAGGTTGGGAATACTGGCCAAGGTGATGACGAGGAAGACCGCGGAGGCCGTCTGGGCGGCAACGACTACGGGGAGGTTTGCTCAGGCATCGGATCTGCTGGGCTTGTCGGCAGTGCAGCGGGAGACCGCAGCATAGCAGCGGGAGACCGCAGCGAGCCACCGTTTGGGAATACTGGCCGAGGCGATGACGAGGAAGACCGCGGAGGCCGTCTGGGCGGCAACGACTGCGGGGAGGTTTGCTCAGGCATCGGATCTGCTGGGCTTCCAGCTGGGACGACTGGCGGAGGTGATGGCATGGATGACGCTTGGGGCCGCCCATTCCCCTTTTCTCACACAGGTGCAGATGAAGATGGTAATCATGTTCCTGACCGCAAGGGTTCTATTGTGACTTTCAATTGCTCTGAGGAGGGCCAGCTATTGCGCTTCCTTGACTCCTGCGAGCACACTGTGGTGGCTATACAAGAGCACCACGTCGCAGAGGATCGTCTTCCAGATCTGCAGCATCGAGCTCTGGACCCTGGCTGGCATGGAGTCTGGAGCTCGGCCACCAAGACGGGCAACCAGGAGGGCACTCAGGCGGGCCTGGCCATCCTGGCGAAGGGAGACGTGCTGGTCACGGCCCCCCCAGGGCGCTCGACGCCCCACATGGCGAATGGGAGAGCGCTGGCAGCCCACGTCCATTGGGGGGTGCCTGGAGGATTCATTGCGATTTCAACATATCTTTATGTGAATGAAGGCCTCTCTGATAATAACGTTCGCATCTTGGCAGAGATCTGTGAATACATTGAAGTTGTCAACGCGATGGGTCTTGATTGGATCGTCGCGGGAGACTTCAACCTGGAGCAGGCCGAGTTCGGAGACATGGAATGGTTGTATGGATTGGGAGGTGTGTTGACGCGCCCATCAGTTTCGACGTGCAGGCAGTCGTTGCCAGGCAGGACGATAGACTATTTCTTGATGACCACCAATCTGCTCCCCAGAACGTGCCGCCCGTATGTGCAGGAAAATGGAGACACATTCCCACACCTGCCAGTTGTATTACCTATCATGGGGAAGGATGTTGTTTTGAAGACTCGCACGTTGGTCAGCCCGAAGCGCCCTTCGAGACAGCCGAAGCCTGGGTGCTCTAGATACCCTTTGAACTGGTGCCAGGTCAATCGTATTATTGATCAAGCGATTGATAATCCCACATTGAGTGCAGCATGGGACGCAGTCTTGGCACAGTTGGAGATTGAGTTGCTTGCCAGATATGATATTGTCGGATCTCACACTGAGGCTTACCGAGGCAGAGGCGGAGACACCCAAATGCAGTATGCTAAGTTGCGGTGGGAGCCGCCTAGGCGCAGAGGTGAGCAGACAACACGAGACAGAGCTTGGAGAGCAGCAGGCCGATGGGCCCGCCATTTACGCCGCTACAAAGAGAGCCTTGTCAATCAGGCTGTGCTGCTATGCCATCAGGAGCGGGCGGGTACGATGTCCAGCAAGGCTTGCGACAAGTTTGCTCGTATGCTAGTGGACATCACCAAGTTCATGACAAGGATTCGCAACGATCCTTTACGCGACGCCTTGGATGATGATGCTCGGAACTTCTTCGACATGGACATCGGTTTCGTCACCAGTGGTCGTACGAATGACATGATTGAGAGCATCATCGGTCGAGCGGACGAGTGCCAGAAGCGCCAGAATGACACAGCCTTGGCGTGTTGGCGAGAGTGGGCGGCTTCGTCGTTCAAAGGCGGAGGTCGTTTCGCACACCGTCACACTCGAGGCCGTGCTCTTCAGGAAGTTTGCGCTGCCTGCCTGCTCCCTGGTTCGGAGGCGCAGCCATTCAAGATGGCGGACAGAGCTATGCGAGAGTGGGACGCCATATGGCACATGCATGATCTTCCTGAGCCAGTACCTCACGCATCTGATCAGTGGGACGACCTACCACATATATCCCTGGACGATATCAAGCGTGCGATCCTGCAGTTCCCCTGGACCACGGGCATCGGGCACTTCGAGTTCGCGCCCCGCGCGTTCTGGTTCGTTTCGGACGCCGGCCTGGAGTCGCTGGCGCGCTTGTTCATGCGATGTGAAAAACTTCTGATTTGGCCGTCGTCTCGCATACTGACTCAGCTTGTCCGTATTCCGAAGTCCACAGGCGGCTGCAGGCTGATCGCCCTAATGCACACCCTCACTCGGATTTGGGGACGTGTTCGCCGTCCAACAGCGGTCGCCTGGGAGCGTGACCACGCGCATCCCACGGTGTGGGGGACAGGTCCAGGGCGATCGTCCAGTGACAGCGCCTTCTCTTTAAATTTAGCTTCGGAGATTGCGCACGAATTGCGAGAGGATTGTGTTACTGTTTTCATAGACATGGTGAAATGTTATGAATGTGTAGACCTCCAGGCCCTCTTGAGGGAGGCCAAGGCCACAGGGTTCCCGCTCCGTCTGGCCTGGATGGCCATCCAGAACTACACCCAGCCTAGAGCCCTTAGAGCCTTCGGTAGTTTGTCGTACTCGGTTTCCACGGCCCAAGGGATCTTAGCTGGGTGTTCTCTAGCCACCACTCTGCTCACGGTGCTTCTGTATAGAAGTTTGAACCTGTCGGTGGAGCGATTCCCATCTGTGGAACCCAGGGACCTGATGGATGACGTGAGTTTTAACTGGGTGGGCAAACGCCGCCAAGGCAAAGACCCAGGAGAGAGCTCACATGTGCTTGCGCAGGCGGTCCAGTCTTTCTGCCATGATATTGCCCCCCTCGGATTGCGTGTGCAGGCGAATAAGAGTGGGTTTGTGGCCAACACTTGTGCCGCCCGTGACACATTCGCACGGCACATTTCGCAGCTAGGTTTTCGCAGCAAGCACGGCATGCGTAATCTAGGGCACGAGATGCACGGAGTCAAGGTTCTACGGCTCCAAGAGAAGGCCCGACTTCGAGTCTTGCAGTCCAAGAGGCGTAAAGTCTGGGGGCTCCGTCAGGCTCAACCTGAGGCCGTCAAGGCCCTTTGGCGAACGGGGCTCCTCCCAGCAGCCAGCCACGGAGGTGGCGTTAGCGGTGTGTCCGATGTTTCTCTCCGCGAGCTGCGTACGTTTGCGGGAGGGATGGTAGGAGCTAAGCCCAAGTCCTGCCTCACTACCTATCTATGCACGCAAAAGGACGATAGGTTCGACCCTGTGTTCGATGCTTCGGTTCCGCTTGTTGTGAGGTTTGCTACTTGTGTCTGGGAAGCCAGGGTCGTTCCTTCACGTCTTGCTCGAGCTTGGCTCGCGATCAAAGACAGAATTCAGCACAATCCAGCGTGGAAATTTGCCAGGGGTCCTATTTCCTCGGTATGGTATACGCTCCTTCGGATAGGTTGGTCAATGTCAGGACCCACCACCTTAGTGAGCGACGAGGGCTGGCCCATCGACCTGCTCCGTGTATGTCCTCAGGACGTGCGCATTTTTCTGGAGCAGGGAATTCGAAGATGGCAGGTTGCGAGGGTCCTGGCCCATTTCCCCGACAACCAGGGGCACACTGTTTGGCGTCGTGCGCTTCGGAAATCAGTGCTTGCTCTCCGTGATGGGGGCCGTCGTGGGGCGCTGCGGTCCTTGTGGGCTGCGGGGGTCTGGACTCCTGAGCGCCTCCATTCGATTAATTTGCGCCCGACGCCGTTGTGTTTTGTGTGTAAAGAGCAGGTCGGCACCGAGGCCCACCAGTGGTGGGGTTGCGAGGGCATGCTTGAGTGTAGGCCTGAAGAAGCTTTGCCCGACGACGTTTTGGAGCACCGTGCCAGCTTGGTCAAGAGCTACCAGACAGACAATGGCAAGGAGGCCTTCTTTTTAAATTATGGGCTGCCGCCCTTGCCGCCCTTTCCAGAGCCAGTCGCCGACTCGCTTCCGACGATGGGGTGGGGTGACTGGCGGGGAGCTTGGGGGCCGAGGGTGTACACGGACGGGTCAGGCCTGGCGAATTCGATGGAAGGCCTGACGCGCTGCGGCTGGGCCGTGGTTCAACTTGATGAGTCAGGCTGTGTTGTTAGAGCGATCTACGGCCCGCTTCCTGGCAGGCTTCAGACCGTCCCTAGGGCGGAGCATTATGCCGCCCTGCGAGCCATCCAGATCGCAGCGCGCCCAGCTGAGATTGTGTCTGATCATCTCAGTTTGGTGAAGACAGGCCAGCAGCTCTCTTCTTTGTGTGAATCTGGTGCTTCTCGTCAGGCGTTTATCTGGAGGCAGATATGGCACGATATTGGACAGTCGGAGCCTCCCCTCTTTCGCTGGACGAGCGCCCATCGTTCCCTGGACGACGTGCTGCCCCTAGGGGCGGCCGAAGTTTTTGACTTTGTCGGAAACGAATGGGCCGATTATTTTGCTAAGTTGGGCTCGCAGTCCCATGCTGTGGCGCAGGTCCTAGTTGATGTGCACAAATCCAGATTGCAGGTCGCTCGTAAGGACGGTGAGGCCTTCGCCTGGATGGTCCAGGCGGCCGCGCGGAAGGCGGAGCAGCTGCAGCCAGCTGCCGACGCCCCAGCGCCCCGCAAGGCCCCCCCCGCTCTTTCGCTTGCTGTCACATCCCACGCGATGATGTTCAGTAAAGCTATTTCTGAGTACAGGTGTTTGTTGTGCAACCGTTTCGCTCGCACCACCCTGTCATATCGTTTCTTGCGTAACTCGGCCTGCGTTCCCTCGGCCCTTCAGCGGGCCACGGCAGAGCGTTTCTTCAGGTTGACCCCCCAGCACTACGTGTCAGACTCGACACCGTCGGTGCAGGTGGCGGTCGAGGCCGCAGGAGGCCCGATTCATGAGGAGGAAGGGGGTGTGCTGCCTGCCGCTGCTGATGCTGACGGGGTGGTGGAGGTGTGCACTTCTCTCGGACATCCCGCCGAACGATTCGGCCCCGCCATTATTTGTTTGGCTTGCGGGGCCTTTTCGATTAACGGTGGTCGCAATCCGAAACTCACGGCGAAGGCCTGTAGAGGCCATTCTCCCGTGGCCTCAACGCGGGCCAACGAGGAGAGCAATATTTCTAGGGTCCTCAGGGGCCTGCATCCCCGATCGGGCGAACCCTTGTCGTTCGATTGATGCGTGTGCTATGCCTCGCCACTCTCAGCCCACTTCTTTTCAGCTGAGTTGGTGGCCGAGCCTCGGCACATAAGAGCTGGGCACGGGTGGCCATGTCCCACCTGCCTGGCTTCTCATGCTCCTGCTGGGGGGTGTCAGTGACCCTGACACTTCTTTCATCGCTGCCTGCCTCCTCCTCCTCCTCCTCCTCCTCCTCCTCCTCCTCGTCGTTTTCCTCCTCCTCCTCCTCCTCCTCCTCCTCCTCCTCCTCCTCTTCCTCCTCCCACCACGGCGAGGGCATTGGACGAAGAGCCATCGGGAGGGAATGTGGCAATGGGCGGGGTCGGCTGGCTCGTTCACATTGGCCGGCTTGACACACCCAGGCCACCAACTTCGCACTTCGCGCCCATCACAAACGTGAATGGGTCGGAGACCCATCACGAACGTGAATTCGTTCAAGCGAATGAGCTCCACACTGAACCTTCTAAACTGCCGTGCGACGCAACGAGTCAGCAAGCAAACCAGGTGCACGGTGCAACCCACGAGCCGACCTGCGATACGCAAGCTCATGAGATGAACCTTGGCCTGAGAGGAAGAGAGAGGAGAGAGAGAGAGAGAGAGAGAGAAAAAAAAAAAGATTAAGAAAAGCGAGCGCGCGAAAGGAAATGAATCACCTCCCCTTCCCTGCTGCGCCGGCCGCAGGCCAGCGGATACGTGAAACAATGCGCCCGCCTCAGAGGGCATAACATGTGATTGTCACAACTGATTATTCAGGCGGGTGAAACCACGCTGTGTGGTAAGAGCCCCTACGCCCCTACTGGATGGCCTCCCAGGCCACATCAACAAATCCATCACTACATGAGACAAGAGAGAGGCGGAAGAGAGAAGAGGGTGAACGAGGAGCACGAGAACAAACGGACCCCAACTCTGGTTAACATGTGGACGCTACAAACACAGCAGCTCTGGACTGGGGCTGGGGACTGCGTCCGACACGGACCGACCTGCAATAGGCAAGCCCATTGGTGAACAGCGGAACGATTTGCGCCGACCCGCCAGAAAGCCGCTGCCTGGACTCCTGCAGTCCTGGAGACGACACTCTCCCGTCGGACACTCGAACAAGGCTGCCAGGAAGAGAGAACAATTATACCTGGCTGTCTCACCATGCCGACGAGCTTCGGCAAACAAGCTGCCGCCTACCTGAAGAGCAAGGCCCCTACAGCAACAGGCAACTCTCCCTGGAATGACCTCCCCACTACGAAGTTGCCATCGCCGCCTGGACGCATTGGCGCATCTGACACCGAAGTGAATGAGGGGCTCCTGGTTGCTCGAGCGCGCAACACCGACGATGTTGAGGCTGTCGTTCAGGGCGGTCGCGCTGCTGTTATCTGAACTGATCAGGCCATCAACCGAACCAACGAGCTGAGCGCGTGCAAGGTCTCCAGCGAACCGCCCGAATGAATTGGCCATCGGCTTGCCAAGCGCAGCGAGAGAGGCGACCGGTCACATCATCGATCAAACGGTAATTCGGCCATGGGATAGAGACGCCGAGCCCCGGACGTTCGCAGACAGAAAGAAATGAGGAACCACTCCCGTCGTGATCTTCGCCATTGCCCGAGAGGGTCTGGGAAAAAAGCACAGGGACTCCCAAAAGCCTCGATCCTCGATGCCCGGGCCCCCTCGCTGGGAACAAGGAAAGGCGACACCAACACCAGCGCGGCGAGGAGGTGCGAGGAGGCAAGGGGGGTCTCCCTGGTGGTGCGGTCCCCCCCTCCCGCTCGAGACATCCCCAGCATCCAGCCCGGGGAGGCATCGTGGACCCCCTCGCTGGAGGTGGGCCCACTGGTGGTGTTGGCATCGCTCCTCCTCCCTCCGACTCGCTGCCTCGAGGTCGTGGGAGAGCTCCACGAGCAGCGTGGCGTACACGGGGGCGAAGCTCCACCCCACGTGCAGGAGCGCCACCTGGCCACGGCCGGGCGTCGGCTCGGGGGCAACTGCTGGGAGGCTCTCGTCGGAAGGGCTCCAGAGGATGAGTCCCCGCTGGGGGGCTACTGCTCGCGGATGAGGCGGCGGATCCAGCGGGGTTTAACCGCACTCCGCGGGACTCAGCCGGATTGAGCGGCCTCAAGCCGGACTGAACTGGAGTTCGGGCCCGGGCAAAAGCAGAGTTCAACCTCCCGGGAATTGCATCCGAACGTCGGGATGCCTCTTGCCCCTCCTCGCAGTGAGAGGGAACGCCAGACGAATCTCTTGGATCTGCGCTGGACCCCCCTCCCTGACGCGCGGAGCGCGCGCCGCGGGGGGGGGGGCCCATGCGCGGATTCGAGAAATCAATGTTTGTGTGTGTGTGTGTGTTTTCTTCCTCTTCGAGGGAACGCCACTCTCCAGCTCCGATTACGTCGGGCCTGTCCCTCTACAGGAGGAATATTCACACATAGTAACAAAAATCTGGGGACGACTTTTTGACCACGTTTGACCATTTTGGGGAATTGTTTTTAACGATTGTTTTAGCTTTGTCGCCCAAAATCCGCCTGTAGGGGGACATGCCCGACCTAAGCGCATGTGTATGTGTTTTTTTTCCCAAGGCTGAGCCTAAACGGTGTTGTTCGTTTTCGCTTTGTTGTCGTTCTCCCTCGCTTTTGCCTTCGGTTCGCCCTTGCCGCACAACGAAACCGAAACGGAAACGGCCCACGAAATTGCCAAAAACATCGTTTAGGTCCAGCCCTGGTTGGTCCCACTTCGAGGCAACGCCAGACCCTGGCCATCGCTCGGACGTCCATTCCCTGTGTTTTTTTCGGCTTCGTGCGTGGTTTTTTCGCGAAATGATCAAGGATGTTCCTCGATGGCCCTCGCCGAGGGAAAAAGGCACACGTCCGAGCGATGCCAAGTTAGGTCCAGCCCTGGTTTGTCCCTCCTCGAGGCAGCGCCAGGCCCTCCAGCTCCCAGAGAGGTCGTCGAGGCTCCGGCCCGTCGAGGCCCGACGCCCTTTTTGTCGCGCTCGCCCGCTGGCTGTCGGCGGCGTTTTCCCGTGCTCGGGCCTGCCCCCCCGATTCGGGGCGAATCTTAGGCGAACACACTTGGGCGAAAATATTTAAAAACGTAACACCAAAAAATGCCCCCGAATGCTCGAAAATAGTGAAGACATCGCCCCCGGACGATTTCTGGACTGCGTAGGGCCCCGCAGGGGCGGACACGAGTGAGGGGGCGGTGGGGTCGTCGGCAGTTTGCGAGACTCTGGAGAAGCCTGCCGCAGGCGCCAAAGTTTCACAAATTGTGCAACGGGCCCGCCGCAGGCGCCGATTGCTTCGTTAAACCAATGCGGGTAGGTCCCTGGTGGGTGTAGAGGGCACAAAATCCACCCCATAATAATCACCCCGACAAGCGAAGCCGTTTAGTAAACGCACACAATGAATGAATCGAACAGGGCAGGGCTGTTTAGTCAACGCCCAAGGCCGTTTAGTAAACGTCACTTGTCGGGCCCGGGTGTTTTTTCCTCCCTTGAGGGTGGGTCGCGGGGTGGGTCGCAGGTGGGTCGCGGGGTGGGTCGCGGGTGGGACGACGACAACAAACAACAACAGCAGCAGCGCAACAAGCATCATTCTCACCACGAGCTCCTTATTCAGCCACGCACCCAGGGACAGTGAATGACCGTTCGGCCCCCTCACTCTGATTTTTGAATATCATACCTCCTCTCGCCATCGCTCGGAGGTCCATTCCCTGTGCTTTGCTCGGCTGGGTGCGTGGCGTTTTCGCCGAATGATCAACGATGCTCCTCGATGGTCCTCGCCGAAGGAACACTGCCCACGCCCGAGCGATGCCGAGTCCTGTGGAGGGACAGGCCCGACTCCAGGCTCTCCAGCCTTGCAACAGGGCCAGGATCGGGATACATCGCTCCAGAGCGTTCCGGAGCGCACTCAGAGCGCTCCGGAACGCTCTGGAGCGGCCGCGGCGCCCAATGCATCCTCCAAACCCGCCGATTCTCCGAGATTTCGAGTTATCCCGATCCGATTTTGTCCCGATCTTCGTGTCGTTTGAGCATGCTCCCCGGCGGCCGCGCCTCGCCCAGGGCGCTCCTGTGGGTGCCCCAGGAGCGTGCCGACCGGCCGCCGGCGAGCCGACGGGCTCCCGGGGGGAACACCTCGAGCTGGGCTCGGCGGTGCACCGCCAACCGAGCGGCGACAGGCCCCCGATGGCAACTCCGCGCGGTGGTGGGCGGGGTGGGCCGTCGTGCCCCGTCGGCCATCCACGGGCCGTCTGGGGGGTCGGCGAGCCACCCCACGAGTCTATCCCCCCGCAACGTTTGCCCCCGACGCAGGCGCTCGGTTCGACGCTGCTGTCGCTGCACAGGCAGCAGCAGTGGGGGAGGCGGGAGGAGCAGCAAAGAGGACGGGCGGGACGTGAGGTGCGTGAGGTTCAGGCAGGAAGGAAGGCGAGGGCGGTGAGGAAGGGGAGGGAGAGCAGGAAGGGCTGAAGGAGGAGGGTAAGGCTGGAGACGACGATCAAGATGGGAGGCGGACGAATGACAGAACACGGACGAACAGCAGGGACAGGGAAGGGCGGAGCAGCAAGAGAATGGCATCCACAAGTCATCGGGCCCTGTGCCCATCCAGGGCATCGTCATGGCTGCAATGACGATTGGAACTTGCGCCAGCGCAGCGAGGGAGGTCCACAGTCAATGGTTACGCTGGCGGCGGGTGCGGCCAACTGAGAGACAGAAGAGAACAACTGCCATGCGGAAGCTCCAGGCTGTGAACATCACGTTGCGCTGGCTTCATGTTCCCAAGCTGTGCTTGCACTTCGGGCTGCTCGTCCCCCTTCTCAAGAACTGGGCCCATTGGCGGCCCTGGCGGCCTCGTTCCCGCTTGTCGCCGCCCCCCCCCGTTGCACCCATCCCGTTACATTGCAGCTGAATTGCGTTACATTACAATCGCATTGCATCGCAACCTCATCGTGTTGCAATCGCACCGCATTGCATTGCATTGCTGCTTTGCGTTGCTTTGCGCTGCGTTTCATTGCTTCGCATTGCGGCACATCGCATTGCATTGCATTGCGTTGCATAATTTTGCAGTGTGTCGCATTGCGTATCATGTGTTTACATTGCCTTGCATGCGCTACATTGCGCAACATTGCTTTGCATTGCTTTGCGTTGGTTTGCATTGCTCTGCGCTGTTTTGCGTTGAATTGCAGTCATTCGTATCAAACCCGTCTCAAATTACGCTGGACAAATCATGTTAGATCCGCACTGCCAGGGCCATGATCCTGGGACAAGTACGCTGGGTTCTCTCTCCAAAGGCAACGATCTCATTCTAACATACGATGGATCTGCACTCCCAAGGCTTCGCGCTCCCAAGGCCACGATCTTTCCAAATACCGCGATTCTGTGCAAGCTTTTGGCGATTCGCGTATCCCCACCAGCCCATCCAGGAACGATGTCCAGGCGAGTTGCCTGGAGGATGAGAGCAGGAATGCGCGTAGTAAAGCAAGGGGACCAACGATGGCGTGGAGCCATCTGGGGGCAGTGGTGGACGCATTTGCAGGGGCCATCTCAGGTCTGCCTTGCCGCCCTATTGGGACAAACTTGTAAGCCTCAGGAACCCTCCTGGGCCCTCCAAGAGACCATCGATCGGCCACTGCTTCTTTCGCCGGGAGGGCGCCCGTGGGGGCCGCGTGGGCGCCCCGCGTTCCATGTACCACGCGTAGTGTACGACACAACTTCTGCCACGGTGTTCTCCTTGGAACATTACTCTGACGGTTGGACCCCGCATGAAGAACGATCGAGGTTGCCCCCTACCTTTTCCGCATCGCCCTGGCGGGGGCCCCCCTGCCGTCCTCTACGTTGTCTCCTCTTCCTCCTGATCCATCTCCTGCTCTTCCCGCTCTTCATGCTCGTCCACCTCCTCCTCCTCCTCCCCGTCCTGCTCCTCCTGCTCCTCGGTCTCCTCGTCGTCGTCCTCCTCCTCCTTGTCCCTCTGCTCCTCCTCCTCCCTTCCCTCCGCCTCCTTTTCCTCCTCCTCCTCCTCTTCCTCCTTCTCTTCCTCATCCTTCTCCTCCTGGGTCACCCCCTCCTCCTCCACCTCCTCCTCTTGCTCCTTCTCCTGCTCCAACTCCTCTTCATCCTCCTCTGCTTCCTCCTACTCCTCGTCCTCCTCCAACTCCTCCTCCTCCTCCTCCTCCTCCTCCTCCTCCTCATCCTCCTTATCCTCCTCCTTCTCCTCCTCCTCCTCGTACTCCGCCGCCTCCGGGAACAAATGGGGAGGGAAGACGAAGATGGCGGTGAGATGCGTGTCTGTTGTGTGGTGTGTGTGTGTTCGTGCGGTGTGCGTGGTGTGTGTGTGTGTGTGCGTGTGTGTATGTGTGCGTGTTCGTTGCCGGCGTGTGCGTATATATGTGACTGCGAAGGTGGCTGTGTGTGTGCGTGTGTGTGTGTGTGTGTGTGTGCGTATGTGCGTGTGTGCGCGTAATACCTGCGAGCGTGTGCGTGCGTCTGTCGGTCAAGTGTCACCGCCCAGTCTGGGGGACACCTCAAGCGACCCAGATCGGCGGCACTGGCCGAAGGGCACTACAATATTGGGTTCAGTCGGGCTGGTCGAAACAGTTCGGTGGTGAAACGTTTAGTTTGGAACCCCCCGGCGGCCCAAGGGCTCTTCGCCTTGCACCTGAGCTTAAGATCGAAGAGGAGGGGGGGAAGAGGCA